ACCTTGACTTAACTTCTCCTGGGAAGTTCTAGCTAGGTGGGGCTGCTGCTAACGAGCTCTCTGGGCTGCCCTGGTCAGAGGGAGTTGGGGCTTTTGTTTCAGGTGGCTCCTGATTGGGTGGGTCAAGCACCCTTGTGAGTCACTGCTAGGCAGAGGCCTATATAAGAGCCAGGCCTAGAGCGCAGCTCCCAGAGCGCAGCCAACAGAGGCAGCGAACAGACGCAGCAGTTTGCGCAGCAGTGTCTGGGCTCTGCCTGGGCCTTTTGTGGGCCTTGTTGGAAGTTGTGGAGACTTTCTGGGGACCCCCGAGGAACTAGACGGTGCTTGCTGCTAGCAGGAAGGGAGAGCTGGGCAAGGACTCCTGCAGGGGACCTTGACTTAACTTCTCCTGGGAAGTTCTAGCTAGGTGGGGCTGCTGCTAACGAGCTCTCTGGGCTGCCCTGGTCAGAGGGAGTTGGGGCTTTTGTTTCAGGTGGCTCCTGATTGGGTGGGTCAAGCACCCTTGTGAGTCACTGCTAGGCAGAGGCCTATATAAGAGCCAGGCCTAGAGCGCAGCTCCCAGAGCGCAGCCAACAGAGGCAGCGAACAGACGCAGCAGTTTGCGCAGCAGTGTCTGGGCTCTGCCTGGGCCTTTTGTGGGCCTTGTTGGAAGTTGTGGAGACTTTCTGGGGACCCCCGAGGAACTAGACGGTGCTTGCTGCTAGCAGGAAGGGAGAGCTGGGCAAGGACTCCTGCAGGGGACCTTGACTTAACTTCTCCTGGGAAGTTCTAGCTAGGTGGGGCTGCTGCTAACGAGCTCTCTGGGCTGCCCTGGTCAGAGGGAGTTGGGGCTTTTGTTTCAGGTGGCTCCTGATTGGGTGGGTCAAGCACCCTTGTGAGTCACTGCTAGGCAGAGGCCTATATAAGAGCCAGGCCTAGAGCGCAGCTCCCAGAGCGCAGCCAACAGAGGCAGCGAACAGACGCAGCAGTTTGCGCAGCAGTGTCTGGGCTCTGCCTGGGCCTTTTGTGGGCCTTGTTGGAAGTTGTGGAGACTTTCTGGGGACCCCCGAGGAACTAGACGGTGCTTGCTGCTAGCAGGAAGGGAGAGCTGGGCAAGGACTCCTGCAGGGGACCTTGACTTAACTTCTCCTGGGAAGTTCTAGCTAGGTGGGGCTGCTGCTAACGAGCTCTCTGGGCTGCCCTGGTCAGAGGGAGTTGGGGCTTTTGTTTCAGGTGGCTCCTGATTGGGTGGGTCAAGCACCCTTGTGAGTCACTGCTAGGCAGAGGCCTATATAAGAGCCAGGCCTAGAGCGCAGCTCCCAGAGCGCAGCCAACAGAGGCAGCGAACAGACGCAGCAGTTTGCGCAGCAGTGTCTGGGCTCTGCCTGGGCCTTTTGTGGGCCTTGTTGGAAGTTGTGGAGACTTTCTGGGGACCCCCGAGGAACTAGACGGTGCTTGCTGCTAGCAGGAAGGGAGAGCTGGGCAAGGACTCCTGCAGGGGACCTTGACTTAACTTCTCCTGGGAAGTTCTAGCTAGGTGGGGCTGCTGCTAACGAGCTCTCTGGGCTGCCCTGGTCAGAGGGAGTTGGGGCTTTTGTTTCAGGTGGCTCCTGATTGGGTGGGTCAAGCACCCTTGTGAGTCACTGCTAGGCAGAGGCCTATATAAGAGCCAGGCCTAGAGCGCAGCTCCCAGAGCGCAGCCAACAGAGGCAGCGAACAGACGCAGCAGTTTGCGCAGCAGTGTCTGGGCTCTGCCTGGGCCTTTTGTGGGCCTTGTTGGAAGTTGTGGAGACTTTCTGGGGACCCCCGAGGAACTAGACGGTGCTTGCTGCTAGCAGGAAGGGAGAGCTGGGCAAGGACTCCTGCAGGGGACCTTGACTTAACTTCTCCTGGGAAGTTCTAGCTAGGTGGGGCTGCTGCTAACGAGCTCTCTGGGCTGCCCTGGTCAGAGGGAGTTGGGGCTTTTGTTTCAGGTGGCTCCTGATTGGGTGGGTCAAGCACCCTTGTGAGTCACTGCTAGGCAGAGGCCTATATAAGAGCCAGGCCTAGAGCGCAGCTCCCAGAGCGCAGCCAACAGAGGCAGCGAACAGACGCAGCAGTTTGCGCAGCAGTGTCTGGGCTCTGCCTGGGCCTTTTGTGGGCCTTGTTGGAAGTTGTGGAGACTTTCTGGGGACCCCCGAGGAACTAGACGGTGCTTGCTGCTAGCAGGAAGGGAGAGCTGGGCAAGGACTCCTGCAGGGGACCTTGACTTAACTTCTCCTGGGAAGTTCTAGCTAGGTGGGGCTGCTGCTAACGAGCTCTCTGGGCTGCCCTGGTCAGAGGGAGTTGGGGCTTTTGTTTCAGGTGGCTCCTGATTGGGTGGGTCAAGCACCCTTGTGAGTCACTGCTAGGCAGAGGCCTATATAAGAGCCAGGCCTAGAGCGCAGCTCCCAGAGCGCAGCCAACAGAGGCAGCGAACAGACGCAGCAGTTTGCGCAGCAGTGTCTGGGCTCTGCCTGGGCCTTTTGTGGGCCTTGTTGGAAGTTGTGGAGACTTTCTGGGGACCCCCGAGGAACTAGACGGTGCTTGCTGCTAGCAGGAAGGGAGAGCTGGGCAAGGACTCCTGCAGGGGACCTTGACTTAACTTCTCCTGGGAAGTTCTAGCTAGGTGGGGCTGCTGCTAACGAGCTCTCTGGGCTGCCCTGGTCAGAGGGAGTTGGGGCTTTTGTTTCAGGTGGCTCCTGATTGGGTGGGTCAAGCACCCTTGTGAGTCACTGCTAGGCAGAGGCCTATATAAGAGCCAGGCCTAGAGCGCAGCTCCCAGAGCGCAGCCAACAGAGGCAGCGAACAGACGCAGCAGTTTGCGCAGCAGTGTCTGGGCTCTGCCTGGGCCTTTTGTGGGCCTTGTTGGAAGTTGTGGAGACTTTCTGGGGACCCCCGAGGAACTAGACGGTGCTTGCTGCTAGCAGGAAGGGAGAGCTGGGCAAGGACTCCTGCAGGGGACCTTGACTTAACTTCTCCTGGGAAGTTCTAGCTAGGTGGGGCTGCTGCTAACGAGCTCTCTGGGCTGCCCTGGTCAGAGGGAGTTGGGGCTTTTGTTTCAGGTGGCTCCTGATTGGGTGGGTCAAGCACCCTTGTGAGTCACTGCTAGGCAGAGGCCTATATAAGAGCCAGGCCTAGAGCGCAGCTCCCAGAGCGCAGCCAACAGAGGCAGCGAACAGACGCAGCAGTTTGCGCAGCAGTGTCTGGGCTCTGCCTGGGCCTTTTGTGGGCCTTGTTGGAAGTTGTGGAGACTTTCTGGGGACCCCCGAGGAACTAGACGGTGCTTGCTGCTAGCAGGAAGGGAGAGCTAGAGGATGAGGCCAGTCTCTTCTCCGTGGTGCCCAGCGACAGGACAAGAGGCAATGGGCAGAAACTGAACCACAGGAAGTTCCATCTGAACCTGAGAAAAAACTTCTTGACTGTGAGGGTGACAGAGCATTGGAACAGGTTGCCCAGAGAGGTAGTGGAGTCTCCTTCCCTGGAGATATTCAAAACCCGTCTGGATGTGATCCTGGGCAATATGCTCTAGGTGACCCTGCTTGAGCAGGGAAGTTGGACTAGATGATCTCCAGAGGTCCCTTCCAACCTAAACAACTCTGTGATTCTGTGAAGTCAATGGAAATCTTTCAGTGGATTTTGGACCAAACAGGAGGGAAGTACTTCACCCTCATTATTACAAACTCATCTCCATCTCAATTGCTTGAAGACACTTATGTGGCACACGTTAACATTTTTGGGTAGGATTTTCATAGGCTTAATGTTACTATTTTCAAAGTATCAAAGTATTGGTAGGTTTCCTATTACTTTTTACAGGGTAAGGCAAAGATTAGGGGGGTTTTAGAAACGCCACTTATTGCTGATGGTCACCAGCAAGGGTAACGGATGATACATTGGAGCAAATGAGTTTACCTCTCATTTCTAGACACAGTGGGCCATATTATGTGCTGTTTGTGCCTTGTACCTACTGCAGCAGATACAGGACTTAATGCTTAAGTGCTCTTGGTCCAGAACTTTTCACAATCATAATGCTCACTTTTTAAAATGCAAACGTTAAAATTTGGTTTAGCACTACAAGAGAGTCTCTAAATGGAGGCAGCTCAGCATTTCTAGGAAAAAGCTATCCAGTGTATGAGCCTCTGACAGAGGAAGATGCAGCCTACAGCCAAAAAAGGAGACAAAGCAGACACCCTGCATCATAACTAAGCAACATGAAATTCTTGTTCCTACACTCTCTGTTTAAGCCCATATTCCCAATAGTGGTCTTTCCTCAAGCCACCAGCCAGTTCACTTTTTGGCAGAGTCTAGTATTGCTCATGCATGTTTGTCTCTGTAGCTTGAGATTTGAAAAATATGTTTCACATCGAGAGAACAGGTGTGAATACTGAAAATCTGCAGTAAGATACTGAAGTCTGAATTTTACAATATATTGCCCAGTACTGTGGGTGAAATTACCTGTAATTAAAAGTGTACATAACTGTGGGTATCATTAATTACACTTGCAATTAGCCCAATTTACTTGAGATTACACCTGTAATCATAAGGTCAGATTGGAACTGGCTAAAAATTAGAGCCACCGTCTCACTCTCCAGATGTCAGATTATTGTCAAACAGTTCATCACTGAATTCAATTAATCATTATTCATATAAATATTTGCAGATAACAGTTGGAGATAATCAAGTTTAAAGAATATTTTCCTATGAGTGATGTTGTACATAAATGTTATATATGAGTTTCATTTGAATTGCCAGTCAAATGTTGAGAATGATAGGATTAAAAAAATGTACTTATCTTCTCCTAGCGCTAGTAAAAATGTGGACACTCCAGCTGTTTTACCTGTGTATCTAGCAAGAATACTCCATATATGTGTGATTCTTTGAAAGAATGAAGTTGGTGCTACGCAGGAGGTGGAGAATTTCTATTGGAAATCCATCTAACTCATTGTTTTTCGATCTCCTCCTCTCTTTCTGCCCATGTCCTGTCCCTCCCTCCCTCTTGCTAGGGAGTTTTCCAAAGAAAGGGAGAAGGCTAAGGCTCGTGGCGATTTCCAGAAGTTGCGAGAAAAACAACAGCTAGAGGAGGATTTGAAGGGATACTTAGACTGGATAACTCAAGCAGAAGATATTGATCCAGAAAATGAAGATGAAGGCATGGATGAGGAGAAGCCTCGAAACAGTAAGCAATTTTCTTCTGTCTCTCTTTCTTACTGTGCTTTTAGCAAGGGAGCTTGTGCCCACGTGATCTAGGGCTGAGACTGCTTATTAGGCAGAACAAGTTCTTCCTGGGACTCTCACTATCCTTATACATGAGCTCCGTATATTGCCTGTAGGAAACTGTGGGAGGGTGAAATCCATGTGAAATAATTGATATCGTTCTGCAGATCATCAGTTTCTTGCCTGTAATACTGACATTAGATGCTGATACTAAATAGAAAAAAGATCAATACTTGCTGTTAGAAGTCTGCTACTGGGATAAGTTTTAAAATATACATCTGTCTCCTATTCATTTATTTAATTGCATTTCAGCGTTGCAGGCTGTTGACACATGGCTAATTACTTTGAAAGCAAAGGTTTCTAGGCAAAGCAATACTACAGTATGGGAGAGGGGCCAAATCAGCCCTGTTGTACATTAAGTGGGCCATCTGTAACTCCATTGAAATCAGTGGAATTGCATTTGCTTTTGCCAGACTGGAATTAAGCTCTCAGAGATTTCTTGTAAGGGAATTATCTCTTATTCTTCTTTTTTGGAGTTGAGAAGATGTTTGTGCAAAGTCAGAATTCACCAACTATCTCTACTAATCAGAAATGCTGAAGGAGAAAGAGTTTGAAGAAAGCAGCAATTCCCTACATGTCATTGAGTCCTCATTGAGACCTTCATTGAGTCTTCTTCCTCCACCTCCTCTTTTACCAGCACAGGCTGTGTATCACTTTGGAAACACCTAGCAATTATCATTACAGGTCATGCAGTCTGGCAGTGTCACAGTTGGAACCTTCAGGCAGTTGCACAGTTAATAGCCACTGGCATTACTCTTAGTTTTAATGACTGAAATATGCATCATCCTGGTTTGATTTTGGAAGAGAAGACATGAAGCATTTCCCTAGAGAGCACCCTTCCAACCAAATAAACAAAATCCATGGGATGATCTCATTAGAACCATATATTCCATCAAGAGGAAGACTGGATATTGGAAAGTTGTGTCAGGAGAATAAAGTAAGATTTGTATCAGATGCTTGTGATCGTTGGGAATAGTAAGCACTACTCCCTGTAGCTGCCAGAACACTTAAGTTCTTGTTTTAGAAAAAAAATGCAGGGTCTTTTGATATCAAGTCATACCCATGGTTCTTAGGTATCTGAATTTGAGGGAGTAACCACACTTACTCAGATAGTACTCAGACTATCCCCAAATCAAATTGTTTTTATTTTTTGTGGGTGCTTACATAGAGCTTATAGCTTAATTTGAGAATAAAGACTGAGTAATCACTTGGTAATGAATTTACTATTCATGGCCAGAATTTGCTGGTCTGTGGCCTATAGTAATACATGGAAGGGTCTGGTGATCTAATTTCAGTTCTTTGTAGACAGGACTCCACGTTTAAAAACCCACCTCTGTAATGACCTCTGATTAGTGTCCTTATATGAGATCTGAGTGGGGAGGCCAAAGCCTGAATTGACACGCAACTTCACTGAAGTCACCAGGAGGCTTTCCCTTGACTTCAGTGGGAGCTGGGTCATGTTTATCACATCTGAACTGCCCTCTCCTCTTAGAGGCATTCC